TAAATTTACTCGAACTGTTTATTCTTGAGGGAACCGATCCTCCAGCCGGTTCGTCTAACAGCGGGGACAACTCCAGGCCACTCCAGGCCAAACGCCGATTTAGACAGGACCGCTGAGAAATGTTCAGCGATCAGTGTAGCAACTGTGCAAATCGGAATCAGGTTTTTACGTCACGAAGAAATCTCAAATTTTATTTGATTGAATAGACAAATATATAATCGTGTAGAGGCAAAATCGACAACCACCTGATCATCTGTGCGGGTGGCTTGAGAACGCAGTGTGCCTTCGTTCTACTGTGAACTCTCGGGTTCCATTTCAAGTCAAGGCGATGGATTCGCACTGTGCACTGATGAGACCCAATCAGTTCGAAACAGCAGTACATTAAAATCCTTTGCAGCTTTTCAGGTCAAGCAGTATTTGCTATGTAAACAACGAAATCCAATAGAAAGATACACAAATAACTTTTAGCATTGAATACACTAAATGGGAAAATTTTACTTCAGTGGTGGAATTTGCACACAGAGGTTAAATCACGATCGTTTACGCCACTTGAATACTGCCACTACGACCATTGCCGCCTACAACTGTCAAAACTTTTAATTTACAATGAATAAATATGCCTGTTTTTGCGTATTGCCACTGCAACGGTTGATCACCTCATAGAAATCATGAATGAATGCAGATTAGCCAACACAAGTGACGCGAATTTCGGAATTTTTATTGTTCAAAGTGCAGTTAGTCCGTACGGAATAGCACGTTGATACCAGACAGTTCTGCCACTGGAGCTCGAGCAAGCCTCGTTTGTCACCGGGACTTCCCAATGTCATTTATAAAGTTCCGGAAATATGATCTCAACTTCCGTTCATCAGGCGCGAATGGGCACAACAGCCTGGCAGAACTTAAACGCCTCTTTCACACGCCGAGTCACTCCGGTCCAGCGGACGCAATTGAGTGGATAGACAGTCAACGATTGCACAACGAAGTAAATCCGGACACTTTGTCAAAATGAGGGAATCACATGATTAACATTATATCAATCACTCATTTTTAAGCCCCTTTAGGGTGAGGGGGGCAACTAAAGGGTTTGCATGGTAAATAAGAATGTTCCTGGTAATTCCATGGAGATTGACACATTGCATTGCTGCTTGTTGAGTCTCATTCACCGAAATTCGATCACTCAGCCAATCCCCCTCCCAGATCAACGTCCCATACATTTTGTGTGAGTTGATTAGAGTCATGGTCTAATAGAGAACTGGATGACTGCTGCAGTTCTGCCGTTACTCATGAAACCAGACCGTAAGCTGAGAGTTTCTGGTTCGAGTCCCCTAGAAGAGAATATTAAGTCAAAGTCAAAGTTACATGATGGGAACTATTTACAAGCTCATTTATCTCTTGTCTCCATAGGATATTTGCACAGTTGAATCGTTTCTCGGAAGAAAAAATGATAAAGTGTTATATAAAGTTCCGGGTAGAATCTAACAACGAATTTGCATTTGCTTTTAGTGGTGTACAAATGTGAATTGTACCACGGCTTTATCGATTCTTCACTTTAAAGAATCAATAGTTGGTGCACAAACGACGTGAGATGGAACGGTGTTCCAAATGTTGCATACTTGACCTGCAAAAAATTGGCGCCCGCATTCCAGTCGACACTTTGGAATCAGTAACTGGAAACGGTGTCCCCTACGGTAATCATTGTTCGACAAAATAATCAGCGGCCGATATGGATGGTTTGGGTTGTGCAGTATTCGACACGCCAAAATCAGCTCTCCCCGAATTCGGCGGTACTGAGCAGAATATAGTCCCAAGGATCGAAATCTTTTCTCATAGGTGACATAATGAAAAACCCTCAACCATCTTGAGGGCAAACCTTTGTGGACGCTCCAGCATCTTGTGATCACGTTGCAACCATGGCTCCAAGCTTGTATGGCGTACTGCGTGTACGGTCAAATGTACACCGTAAGAAAACGAGGGAACAGTGGTAATTCAAACCGACCAAAGACTCGCCTAAGCAAGCCTGCATTCTTCACAGCAGCGGACGAAGCTTTAGCGCAATTGGTTGAGCAGCTCAGATCATCTGGAAACACAAATACCTAAGTCTTTT